TGATTTGTCACACTATATACACAAACTCCAAACTCCGATATCTGTCTGTGATCTATGGTTTTTAACTTCATGTGAATGTATGGCACATTAGCAGAACTCGGAAAGCACTACAGTAATTCTCTTTCTTTGCAGAGTTTAGCAATGCATTCTGGGATGGACTATGCCATTATGACTGGAGGTGATGTAGCGCCTATGGGGAAGGAGGGTGTCACAGCTATGCATAAAGTTTTTGATTGGGCTTCGTCAAGCCGGAGGGGGTAAGATTACGTACTTGACTTGAAATTGATATGTGATAAAGATCTAATTACGAGTTTTCATAATGTTCCATGGACCTGACAAAGATTACATGTTCTGAATTGAGTGATATAATCACTATTTTCAAAAAGACAAAGCACATGTGATACACACTTTGCGAATAAGCAAGGAGACTGGTTTTACTGAGTCACTCATTTGCATGAGTAATTCTAGAAATATACGTTACGATTTTGTGATCATCTTTCAGGTCGTATGACTTTTTATTGAAATCTACATTGCATATCACACTACTTACTTCCACTTATTGAATAGATCTGTGCTTTTATCTAATATTTATTTTTTTAATGTGTTAAGCAAATTATTAATACTTTTACTGTATTTTTTTTGTACTACATCAGAATATTTTTTATGTTTTTTAAAGTAGACTTATTACTGAGAAAAAAATGTTTTGCTTTTCTTGTTAAGAAAATTTAAAAATTATGTTGTGATTTGGTTTCAGTTTTTTTGACCTAATCCTAGCATTCAGTGGCAGTAACATTAGATACTTGTCACATGATTACTGCTTGCTGTGATATCGTTTGTTACAATCATGTGAATTAATTATTTTAGAAATAAGATAATAGAATGTTGAACAATGTGTCAACTGGATTGTAAACCATATTCAGACATGCACATTTTTTGTTATCTCACAGTGCAACTATGAGTTCACATTATGACTAAATCTACACTATATGTAAATGTTGTGTGCTCAGTCCTTGAACAGTTATAATGTACTTTTTTTATCTTTTTTATTTTATTTTCTACAGTGTTCTTTTATTTGTTGATGAGGCTGATGCATTTCTCAGAAGACGGAGTTCAGTAAGTCCCTCATTAATTATTCATAATTACAGACATCATTAAGATATCACTCCCATTGTGATATAGAAATAAAATCACATGTACATGTATTTGCAAAATAAGGATTTATCACATACCTAATTATGCATGGTGGTATGGAATGAATATTGTAATTACTAATATCGTTTGAATTGTTGGCACGTTTACTACTAACTGTTTCCATCAGTGTGTTGGACGTACAACATTACCTGTACTGTTACTGTAGACACTCTAAGATTAAACAAGAACTCTGCTGACACTATGTAGCGCTATCATTATAGATGTGTATATTTATTGGTACTTTAACTATATTCAAGAAAAAAGAAAGAGGTTTTTGGTCAATTTGTTTTGTTTGTTTTTTTGTTTTGAAAAAAATCCTAAACAACATGTGTGACTCGCATGTTTTCAACCAAAATCACATCCACAAAAATTCCCTTAAATAATGAACATTTATAGTTTTAAAATTAACGATATTTGCATCACTAATAATCTGATATGCAATATTATTGATAAAAGCTGAATTTATTTTCTCAACAGGAAGTGATTAGTGAAGACATGAGAGCGACGCTAAATGCTTTCTTGTACAGAACAGGAGAACAATCCAAAAAGTAAGATTTGTTAATTATTCAAGACGTTCATTTCAGTACTAATCATAACAAATTATCGACTGCATGTTAATAGGTATAGTCTGCATAAAAATGTGTGTTTGTGAGAGGGGGAGGGGGAAGGGAGGGGTTCTCCAGATAAAATATAGGGATTATTTGAATTTTGTTTTTATTCCTTGCAAATGTCATCTTTGTTGACCTTCGATGTATGAAACATATCAAAGTATATCAGAGCATATCAAAGTCACACATGTTCGTATTTGAGTTAACGTAAACTAAATCTTGCTATTCACAACGAGTAAACCTGTATATTACAGTAC